AGCTTTCACTCTACTCTGTTCCTGAGGGTCAATCTAAATATGTGGAGGAGCCAAGGACTCAACTTGAAGAAAGCATCTCACATCTTCGACAGTATTGCCAGCCATATACAAGTTGGTGTCAGGTACAGCTCTTCTGAAAATGGAGTGAACGCATTTCTGTTTAGAGTCAATAGTGAAGAATCTGTTGGGTTGTTGGAAAAGTCATGATGTATTTTTCTATGTTTTTCAATGCAAAAATGCGTCATGACTTTTCCAACAACCCAATATATCGGCTGCGTGTTTTCAGAAAGAAGCACGATAAAGGGCCCCAACTTAAGAGTGCCCAACTTACAATTGTTTATCAGGGCCATCTTGGGGGGGAGTGGGGAGCAGAGAGCCCTAGCTTCCTGGTGGTGGCTGTTTCCATAGCTGCACAGAGAATTACCCTCTCACTGGGCAGCATGTGGCACCTTGACTAGCGAGTGGATGGCTGGAAAGTATCTTGTTGGTCACAGTTATGAAAGCTTTATTGTCCACTAGGAGAGGTTATGGGGCTGAAACTCTAGGAGAAGGAAAAGGACACAATGTAAGCATTTATGTCAAAATTGGGAACTCCCCCCGCACCTTGAGATTTTACAAATTAGTACCACTTTATTTATTTTTTATTTTTTAAAATTATTTTTAGTTTTCAGTTACAGTTGACAAATCAGAAACACTTTAGACAGGAATGGTTACAGAGCATTATAATAGGAGGGTAAATAACTAAAAAAAGTGTGGAATTACGTATTTGAGTACTGAATATTTGCCCCAGTAACCAAAAGAACTACCTGGACAGATTGGCTTCTGTTACTGCTTAAGTTTTAGATCAGGCATTTGTCATTATGTCCTAGAAAACATTTCTGTGATTTTTAACATCTAAAACCAAAGTTTACCATCTACATACAGAATGCTTTCATGGGCTTTGATGCATATGTTTACTGTACTGGATCTCGATTTTGAAAATTGATGACACATTTGTAAAAATCGAATGTAGATATGTGTGACATGGTCTAGATTTACTTCACTTGAGATTTACAAACTCAGTTTTCATCCAGAACATATTTAAAAAATGTTTAATTTCGGGCCGGCCGAGTGGCGCGACGCTTAAGAACTCGCCTGGGATGCCAGAGGGCCCCGGTTCGGATCCCACATACGAGGGCCAGTGACACTGCCCTCTGCAGCTAAGATGCTGAACAACAGCTCAACCTGGAG